CTTTTATAGTACAAGTACAGACGGTAACTTCACGCAAAACCAGGAATGATAGATACAATATAAGAAATTTAAAAACTAAAAAAAAATAAAAAAACTAGCACCCGGAGCAACGCCCGGGTCCTGAGACCTAGTAAATGCAATTTATCTGACTTATGTGATTTATGTAACTTATGTAATAAATGTAATTTTTGTGATTTTACCCCCGTGACCCATGGTCACGTTATACCATTCCGGACCCAACTTAACCACATTTCGGGTCTCACATTATATTGTCTAAAAAAAATTTTCTATTAAGTAATATGAGCGAAAATATCCAGTTGAAACACACAATGATTAGTGATCAAGTTATATCGGGATACATTTAGGTAGATATGTACAAAAATTTATAAGCAATCAGGTACATATATACAAAAATTTATAAGTATTCAAGTACATATGTGCAAAATGTATAAGTAAAATTCATAAGTAATTCATAAGTAATCCATTATTGGGCTTACAATTTCTGATCAAACAATCACTTTTATTCTCAATAATCGTTAAATTTTTATTTATTAACCTAATCACTTATATTGAATTATCACGAAATTAGAGATTTTTGCTCATATGAAATTTATTTCACGATAATTGATTAAGGCACTTCAGAGTGCAAAAATCATAACTACTTTAATCGATTTAACTAATATTTATAGGGCAATATATATTCTTGTAGACTTTCATAATAGCAATATTTAGAGCTAGGATTGTCACGAAAAAAAATAATAAAAACGTATCAGATGATATTTATGTAGTTATCCAGAAATTTTATCGGATTACACCATGTACTAGCCGCTAATATTTATGATTTTAGATTATCATGCCAGAGATGTTGACTGGACGAAAGCCTTTAGATGGTTAGAAAAATAATAAAATAATAAAATATTTAGTAGCCATGTTCTACATTGCTCTAGAAGTTTTATTAACCAAACAGTTTACGTTAGCTGTTGATATTTACAGTTTTGGGGTTATTATATCAGAGAAATCAACTGACCAAGACTTTTTTGATGGTTATAGTTTTGGAGTTATTATATCAGAGAAATCAACTGACAAATTTTTGATGGTTATAAATTTGATATTTTAATCTTGCAATAAAGATTTATAGTGGATTGCAGCCAGAATTTGGAACTCCTAATTGCTATGTTAAATTTGCTAAACAGATGTATAAAACGGCCTTATGTTCAAATGTTTTAGTAAGCTTGATGTATAGAATATAATCATAGAAGATAATAAGGTGATAGTGATAGTGATTATTATGTCAAAAGATTCTTATCTATAATTCATAATATATTAAATATGAGTGATGCCAATTGAAAACAAATATAGAATTATTTACACAACAGAATGTGGGCTTTTAATCAATTCGGTTGAAAATAATTATAAAATTCAATTGTAACTAGGAATAGAAATATTTTGCAAGCTACGCATAAAAGTACTAACTTATAGTTCGATATAAATTAATCTACATATAGGATGCAATAATATATCTTTCTATACCTATAATTTTTTTTAACTTATTACAAATTAAATTACATAAGTATAATTTAAGATTTTACAATTTTTATTAATTAAATAAAACTTTTCTAATTAATTTATGTATTATTTTTTAAATTTCTTATATTGTATCTATCATTCCTGGTTTTGCGTGAAGTTACCGTATGTACTTGTACTATAAAAGAATATTATATACGTAGTAGGTTAGTTGATTTTAAAAAGTTATGATTAACAAATCAGGATCGCGGGACCTTCGTGTAACGAAAACAAAATTTTTTAGAAAACTTTTCAGCACTTAATTTTGCATATATTATTAATGCCTAAATAAAACCCCAGTCCTCCTAAAGTTAAAGAATAAAATTTTTTTTTATTAGGAGATAATATATAACGGTGAATTTCACCTATGGTTAATTCAAAAATTTTTATAGTATTTAATAAATTATTTGGACAATTAGACATTGTCCAAATTGATAATTAATAATAAATATATAAAATTTATCTTTGTAAAGTTAACAATTATTTAATAATAAGACTCAGGCAAAACTTCGCTCTTAAAATAAAAATACTGAATATATATTTACCTAGAATTTATTAAAATTTCTCAGAAAATTTACAACCTAAACATTACATATTAGGGAGACATTCATTTCAGAAACTATTTATAGTGTTCTAATCCATACAAACCCTTCAACAAATATCTATTCTTTTTTGTCAATTGTATAATTTTCTTCTTAACGTAAAAATTTCGTGATTTAAAAGTCTTTTTTCGGCTCTTAATACTTCCATTTCGTAACGCATATGTACCATTCTTTCATTTAAACTTGAATTAAGTTTGAAGGCCTCATCTCTTTGTTTAGTAAGTGTCTCAATTCTTTGGTCTTGAAACAACTCTTGCTCTACTGATTTGATCCACGTAGGATCAAAATCTTCATCTATTAAGATGATTTTTTCGGCAGCAGAAGTAATTGCGGCAGCAGAAGGAATGGCGGCGGTGGCAGAAATAGTAGTACTGGCGGCAGCAGAAGTAACTTCGGCAGCAGAAGGAATGGCGGCAGCAGCAGAAATAGTAGTACTGGCGGCAGCAGAAGTAACTGCGACAGCAGAAGGAATGGCGGCGGCAGCAGAAGTACTTGTGGCAGGAGAAGTAATGGCGGTGGCAGCAGGAGAAGTAATGGCGGTGGCAGCAGGAGAAGTAATGGTGGCGGCGGCGGCAGAAGTAGTACTGGCGACAGTAGAAATACTTGTGGCAGGAGAAGTAATAGCGGCAACGGCGGCAGAAGTATTACTGGTGGTAGTAGAAATACTTGTGGCAGGAGAAGTAATGGCGGCGGCGACAGAAGTATTACTGGCGGTAGTAGAAGTACTTGTGGCAGGAGAAGTAATGGCGGCGGCAGCAGCAGAAGTATTGATGGCAGCAGAAGGAATGACAGCGGCAGCAGAAGTACTGGCGGTGGCAGCAGGAATCTCGTGTGAAGATATATCTGCGAATTTTCTATAATTTTTTTTTACGTATTTTAAAAATTTTTTTGCTCCTTTTTCGTCCCAAATGTCCTACAAAATGAGATGTATTAATATCACTTTGGAAATTTTGGTTTTAAAATAATAAAATCTATTTAAAACGATACTTACATTATCATTACAACTAGAAAGCAATTTTTTCCTTTTTTTTTTGGTTTGATTTGTTGATAATTTGTCACTGCATTATGATATAAATTTTTTAATATATCCTTGAAATTGTCGTTTCGTAATACGATTTCCATAACGCTAGACGTTTCTTGCTTAATGTGAGACTTTAGCCATATTCCAAAGAAACCGGTTTCGTTATCAAAAAAGTTTAATAAATCTAAAAAATTATCAGGATTTGTTTAGATTAGTAATTAATAATGATAAATATGACATTTTTGCTTATTAATTTTTCATAGCTAATTAAAAAGTCCCATAACTAAACTTCCTATTTCACTAGTATGGCTCTTAGAAGTACAAGTTGTTAAAACCCAAAAGCGGTATCTGATTCATAAACCATAGCAAACACATATATAGTTGCTGTTGTTTTCGAGGTTTGAAATGTCTCTTAACACAAATAATTTTAATTAACACTTAAAGCTTACCGCTCTCGGCTTCAACAATAAGGTTGTTTAATTGTCTGTAATAGAAAAGAAATTAGTGGAAGAACATAAACCATAAGATTAACAATTCAATTTAGAGAGTGGAATCGATGAAACGTCGAATCAGTTATTTACTTATCGATTCCAATCTCTAATTCAATTGACAAATTTCAATGATGCAATAAAAGATTTGAAATAATTTTGCTGTTGATGCTAGCACACGATATCCTAGATGCAATCCACTTGTCGTTATGCTTCATGATAAAGTTTAAACTTCTCATTACTTTTTTACGATATAGGAGAAGTTTAAAAGTATATATTTCCTCACTATAAAGGCATAATATTATGGATATAGAATTCATGTTCATGAAAAGTTTAACTCCAGAATCAACCTTCATTACGATATAGGAGATATACGCAATTCGAATAGCTTCTCTTCGTATATTTCCTCTCTATAACGCCATGATTTCGTCGTTATTATGCTTCTTTTACGATATAGAAGATATACGCGCTTTTAAACTGAAATAATATATTTCCTCACTATAAAGGCATATTATGGGATATAACCTTCATGTTCATGAAAAGTTTACTCCAAAATCAATAGACCTTCGACCAACTTTTCATTACGATATAGAAGATATACTCGTGTATATGCATACTTATTTACTTTACGATCTTGGAAATATACGTACTCTCGAAATATTCCTTTAGTTTGAAAGGATATATTTTCTCTCTATAACGGCACAAGATTATGGATGCAACTAAAATGTGGCTAAATCAATTATGGCAGCAATAATTTTGTTAATAGAACTACATATATCATGCAAAAAGAGTTTGTTCTTACTTAGTCTCCATCTTTAACGCGTAAGAAAAACACAGAATTATGAGTTTAGAAATTTAATTTAATATATACTAGATGATGTTTGTTGTTGTTACACAGTCTGTAGACGCTTTTATTGGATGATCCAATCCTGGCTTAGCACGTCTGAAATCTGTGACAGGTTATGTTGATCATTGCTGAATGTAGCTAATAAATCACAAGATCATGTGTAACTTAAAAAATTCGAGAAAACAGAAAAATCGCAAATAACAGTATGACTTCTAAATAAAAGTTTTCAGCACGAAATTTTAGTTTATAAGTATATTTAAATATCGAATATCAAGTAAATTAAAGTCTGCGCTTAATTCTGATCTTTATGCTTCTTTCGATTTGGTGATCGACATAACCTGTAGATGTGCTATAATATTACATGTGTGTATAATAAATAGTTTTATAGCAAAAACCTAATTCGGTTTTTGCTTTTGTAATTATGAATAATATATATCATATATAATAAAATATGTGTGTATAATAAATAGTTTTATAGCAAAAACCAAATTCGGTTTTAGCTATTGTAAATTGTGAGTGTCGCCAAAAGAAATTACACTTCCAGCCTTTTATTTTTTGAAGATTTTTGTCTAATAAATCGTAAATTTAAGCCCGAAGCTTAATTTTTTCTTTTTGATAATCCCAAAAGAGTATTTCTAAACATCACCGCAGGTGATCATAACTGGTGTGTAATTAGCCAATAAACTTGCAGGATCAGGTGTAACGTTTTGTACGACAAAAACAAAGAAAATCGCGAAAGAAATGATTTTTTTGTTATGATGCTAATCTATATGTTGTACAACATTGAGGTGATGATCACCTGCGGTGAGATTTAGTTTTCGCTTTTGATACCCATATCTGATATATATCAGTCACCCGATTTGTCACATCTAAAATTTATCATATGATATTCATAAATTACACAAATCGACGAAATTACATTTTTTAAATTTTTACCTGAAAGCTTTGTTGAAATACTCGTTTCCTAAGATAAAATTATTGCTGAAGTTTCTACGAGCTATACCGTATTAAAAACATAAGAAACGAACTTCTCCTTACAAAATACTATATAATTAAACAGGGGCCATTATTTTGTCTACTTTTGATATATTCTATATATTTATAATAAAAAATTTTAGTAAAAAAATTAATTAAAAATAATTTATTAATCAGACTAAGTTTAATATTATTGAAAACTATATATTATTGCATCTCTTAATCTACATATATCAAAAATTCTTGCTATTTGTTGGTATGCAGCATCTAATAATACAAATAGTGCTGAGTTAGCACATACTATAAGCAATTGTGAAGGAAAACAACTTAAATTGATAATAGCTATATTGAGGTTTTATTTCTATAATATTTATTTTTTTATATACAGTATAAGTTTTAATTTTTATTTTTTAAAGGTCAAAATAGATATATGCAATTTTAAAAGAATTGAAGTAAAAAAGAATTTTAATATTAATCTAAGTATTTATGATAAAAGTAATATTACATGAAGAAAATTAGCAATTAACCAAAATAGTTAGTATATTTTTATTTAAAAAAACATTTATAGTTAAATTTATATATTAATATTTTAATAGTAAAATAGCAATTTAAGAAAGTTTTTTTAACAAAAAGTATTAACAATTTTTACATCAACAAACAAGTAATAAAAAACTACACAAGTTATTAGAAGTTAAGAAATTGATTTAACTAATAATGATATTTGTATAAACAAAGAATTTCTAATAATAGTAATAGAAAAATTTGAATATGATAAATGCAAGCTACTACATGAAGAGTGAAAAGAGAAATTAAAAAAGTTGCAGATAGCTAATACTATTAAAGAATAAAAATATAGTCTTGTGAAATAATTATTATATTTAAAATTTGCTTTGTTTATATTTTGTATAATAATTAAATATAGTTATAATAAATAAAATTTTATATTACAAAAAAAATTATTTAAGAAGTTAATACTAAATATAAATTAAGATTTTACATTTTATAATAATATTAATAAAATAATATATATTAATATAAAACAAACTTGGCTTGTCTTGTAATTTTAGTATAATGAATTATTTTGTAACTAATATGAATTCAATAGTATAATTAATTAGTAAATCCTTATTTATTATATAAAATAATTCATTACTTTTATATTATAAATTTCAAATTAATTTAAATTAATATTTTGGTACTCATTATACAAAATATATATATATATTCTAGTATACAAGTCAGTATAACCAACAATATTCTATTATATATATATATATATTAGATATTTGTTTATTTTTGCTATACTATATAACTACTTTTGTAGTTCTAACTATACTACTTTTGGTAACATCTTTTAGAGAGATCTAACTATATATATAAATATAACTACTACTTCTAAATTAAAATTTCAATTACTATTTATAGAAAGCTAACTTTAGAGGAAAATAATAAGTAGAAAAGCCTATTTATATAGCAACTTAAATAAATAATAGTATTACAAGTAGTGTAGCTTTCTTTTTTTTTTTATATTTATTGATAATATCATAATAGGAAAAGGATTAGTATATTTGTATATTATGATAATATATATATAGAGCTAATGTATATTCCTAAAGTATATTGTTGTTACTAATACTACTTAGTTATCTAATATGATATTATACTTCTATTTTTTATTTATTAGCTAATTTAAACCTAAATTACTATTAACTATAGAAGTAGTTGAAAGAGACCTCTAAGATTATAACAAAATGAAGTTAAAAAAAGCAATTATATAAAGAAAAGTTTTGAAAAAACAATTTTTTAATATAGTTATCTATGTTGAGATTATAAGAAATATTATTGTTTGAATTATTTGAGGTTTGTGAAGGTATATAATTTTTTTGTATGTTTTGATTTTTTTTAAAATATCATGAGCAGATTTTTATTCATATTGTTTTTGATTTCTATCTTTCTATATTTGGTTATTAAACCAAAGAAGTAGAGAGTTAGAAAGTTGTATGAGAAAGTTATTTGTAAGTTTTTTTAGTAGTGTATTTGTTTGTTCTATGCAGGTTATTAGGATAGTTTCTAGAATTAATAAGTATAGAATTTTTAAGAAGTTTTGAGTATTGTAGCTAGAAGTAAGAATTTAGAGAATTATTTGAGAAGATATATTTGTTATATTTAATGTTTGTAGATGTTCAGTTATGTGTTGTTGTAAGAGGTAGTATAGATTAATTGAGTATAGTATGCAGAAGAAAAGATATTCAGTATTTTTATATTAATTGCAATATGAGCAGTTGGGTATGAGGTATAGATTTGGATAGCGGATGTTTAGATTTGCCATAGTTGGGAGATTGTTAAGAAGTATTTTGTTTCTGAATGAGTAGAATTTTAAGTTGTTGTTTTAGGAGTTTATTATGTTGATGAGTTGAAGAATAATGTATGGTTATAAATTTTGGAGTATTTTGAGTTGTATGAGTTTGTTTAGTATTTGAATTGAAAGGATATTTATGCAGAATTTTCATATTTTAAATATGATAAGTATTTAGTTCTATGAAAAGAATGTGAGTAGAGAGAAGTAGTTAGTGTTTAGATTGATTTCTATTTTGTTAGACCCTTGTTTTGCAAGAGAGTCAGCAATATTATGAAAGGAGTTTTTGGAATGTAATTTGGTTTTATGTATAGTGTATTATATGTTTTCTTTTTAATAAGGAAGTTTAGTATATGAATAATGTCTCAGTTATTTTGTTTAGTTTGTGTTGAATAGTTGTATAGCAAATTGTTTTTAAGTATTTGAATTACAGAGAGGTTATCTAGATGAATATGAATTTTGTAGTTAGTTAGTAGAGTTAGAAATAGAAATTTGAATATTGAGAGTTTAGCTCTTATAGAGTTTGGTGTATTTGAAATTGATGTGTTAAATTTAATTTGAGTATTATTTTAAAGTATCTAGGCAATACTAGTTTTGATATCTGAAGTTTGTGAGTTTTTAATTGATGCATCTGTGTAGAAATATAAGTTATTTGGATTTAAAGAGAGAATTTAGTTGTGAAGATTAATAATTTGGTTTTAGTATGATAGATTTGTAATTGTATTTTGGATAATAGATATATTAGGTAGTAGAATTGTAGCTAAAAAACTATTATTTAATAAAGATCTCTCAAATACTAGACTAATTAGTTTAATTGAACATATTAAAAAACTCTATACCAAAATACTACTAATATATCTATTAATATTCTCAATAATATTATAGAAGATGCAATATGCATATTATTCTATTAATTTTGATCTTTTTAAACTAGCTCTTCAAAGAATCTAATTCTCAAAACCTCTTATAAATATTCTAGTTAACCTTCTTCTTGACTAAACAAACAAAGTTATTACAAACTTTGAGTTAACAAATTCATATCAGATCTAAAATGGTATTAATTAGAAAGAGACTATAATATTACTCTTCTAGTAGATATACTATAATCTTCTTATATTCAAAATCTCTTGAGAAGTAGAAAGTTACTAAATGTTTACAACATAGTTAAAAAATATATA